AGAAGAAGAAATCCCCGAAGAAAAGTCCCCAAAGAAAATGCCACGGGAGTATAATTGGAATATGCCATAATTACTTCAGATACCGGAAGAAGAGTTGGTAAAGATAGCAGTTGATTGTTACACAAAAATTATTCGTATCAAGAAAGATGATTGTTTTGATACAAAGGAAGACTTGAAGATAGCTTTGTATACGAAATGTGTGGAAGATGGCTATCAACTAAAAGTTAACAAATCAAGCAAAGATCGTTTCGAAACAAGGTGTATGATTGACAAAAACTGTACGTGGCGTATGATTGCAAAGAGGATAAAAAATTGCGAAATGTTTCAAGTTAGGACTTTTATTGATAAACATACATGTTCAAGAACCCAAGTTTTTCCTCACCATAGACATGTAAACAAAAAGGTGTTGGGTGGTTTTCTGGCTGAGTTAATGTTTTTGAATGACAGGGTATATCGGGGATATGAAATTATGACTGACATGAATGCTCGGTTCAAGATTAGTATCTCATATTCTCAAGCTTGGAGAGCCAAATGTTATGCCTTGGAATTGTTGAGGGGGTCGCCAGAAGCATCGTTTGCCCAACTGCCGGCTTATTGTCACAATTTAAAGCTGAAAAATCATGGGTCGGTAACTCATATCAAAACAGATAGAGATGGACGCTTTGACTTATTTTATTCCTTAAGGTCAATTGAGCCGAAAAAAAGTTCTACAAAAATAATAAACATACCAAGTTAGATATACCACAAAAACTACACTGTGAAGATATAGCAAAACAATAATAAACATAAAGAGTAGTAGTTTATTCTTCAAACTTAAATTTGCAACATTGTGATTTTTGGTTGAAGTAATGCAATTCATTCAAGTTTCAATTTGCAGAAGAAGAATAGTTTCTGAAACTTAAAATCGCAACACGAAAATGAAAATCGCAACACGAAAATGACTATCGCAACGCGAAATGAAAATCGCAACGAGAAAATCGCGAAACTAAAATCGCGTTGCGATTTTCATTTCGCGTTGCGATTCTCGGTTTCAATAGTCATTGTCTAAAATTGAAACTTGAATGAATTGCATTACTTCAGCCAAAAGAAAAATACTAACTTCACAGGGTTAAAAACTAAACAGTTTAGCCGTATTGGCAGCAATCGAATGAATTTAATAAGCAATCTAAGTGAAATGGTTAATCTATTATTGAAATTACCAGTAAACTTATCATCAATTTCAATATGAAAAACCTAATAATAATGCAAAAATTTCAAAATAAAAATAATTAAAAAAACTAACCCTCGGTGGTTGATTTGGTTGATTTTCTATTTCTGACCGTGAATGATTGTGAGGGTGGCTCTGAGAGATGGAGATAGACGGATTTCGTCGGAGATGGGGACGGATGTCGCCGTAGAGAGTGAGATATGGAGATGGGACTGAGTTGTGATTTAGGGTTTTAGGTTAAGAGTTGCGATTACGGGATATATTAATATTCGTGTTTGGAATTTGAAAATAAAATACGTGTTGCGATACTAATGGCGTTTTGAAAATCGCATTGTGATTATGTATTATCGTGTTGCGATAGTCAGAATCGCGTTGCGATTTACATATTCACATTGCGATTTTCTAAAATCGCAACGCGAATTTGGAAAATCGTAATGCGATAGTCAAAATCGCGTTGCGAATCTGGAAACTGATTTGCGATACTGGAGATCGCGTTGCGATTTAGAGATCGTATTGCGATTTTGTTGGTCATTTTGGCAAATCGAAAAAAAGTTGGTCAAAATCGTATATTATAAGACATTTTCGGTCACTGAAGTTATTTTCTCTATTTAATAGATACTCTATTTAAATTTAATGAAAAAAAATTAAAACATGTGTTTATACTTTCCTCTCTTCTTATAATCTCATCTTCCCAATCTCCAATATTCTCAAAATAGATTGGGGTTTAGGGTTTCATGACCCCTCTCCTAATAATGAAGCATTGAAATTCGGCTTGGCTGATGCTCAATCGGCGGTGACGGCTTGGACTTCTCGAAACCATTCGGTGACGCTTTTTAGGGGCCGGAGATATGATCTAAATTAACGGCAAATCCGAATATTAGGGTGTTTTTACAGCAACCAAGTTTTATTAAAGCAATGCAGGAAATTCAGAGGAATCCTAGCAAATTGAATGAGCATTTGAAAGATCAGAGAGTTATGCAAGCTTTGGGTGTTATGTTGAATGTAAAGCTTTCACATGGTGGTGGTGATGACATTGAGGTTCCAGAGGCGAAGACGCCTTCACCTTTGCCGCCTTCACAACCTGCCAAGTAGGAGGTGAAGAAGCCAAAGCCAAGTAGGAGGAGAAGAGGGGAAAGTATGAATAAGTGTTTTAATTTTTTTTCCTTAAATTTAAGCTATTCTTCAAGTCCATGCTCTCTTTGTGCTCAAAAGATGTTGGACAATGACAGTGAGCGTTGTACTTCAAGGTTATCTTCTTCGCTGCAAGTCGGTTCCCCCTTCACTAATTCTAAACCAGAAAACTTTCTTGTAAATGATATTGCCAGGGATCATCCATTGCACTTTTCTGAATGTAGAATAGAAATTTCTTCAGATGATTGGGAACCTTCAGTACCCTTTCGGCCATCCTTTTTTGTCACCTCTGGCTTATCATCTCCGCAAAGCCAGTATGACGCTGTTCGTGATAGCATTGATTCCCCCAATGAAGGAGAGAGGTCTCTTATATTTTCTTTCTCTAATCCAGGTTCATCATTCTTGAATGTAGCATATCCACCGGTAATATCTTTCTTCAACCCAACCAAAAATAACAAGACTTGTTGAGGTGAGAGTCTTTGATTCCAGAGGCACTATTCTGTGCACGTGAATCAAATGAGCCTGAAAGGTCTTTCTTCTTCCCCAATTGAGCTAGGGAGGGATCAGTTGAGTGTTGGAGGTGTTCTACCAAAAAAAAATATAAACTCAGCTGCTTTGATTGTTCTTCGTTTTCGGGAAAGACAAATTGCAGGACTTCATTGTCTCTGTATACTTGAACAAGAGCAGCTGCTTTGAATGCAAACACCCCAAGCATTGCAGGCACAAGCTGCGAAGAGCAAACACCAAAAACTATAAATGACGATACAAAGCTGCGTTGTTGATTTATCAATGTTCCTATTGACAGCTCATCAACCAGAAAATCAAGTGACCATTAGCAAAGTTGAAAGTGAGGATGATCCTGAACTTCCCTTAGTTGAATTTGCCACTATTCAAGCTGCTACTAACAACATTTCGGCTGCAAACAAGATTGGAGAAGGTGGATTTGGACCAGTACACATGGTAGAAATATATTTTCAGATTGCTCTTTAATCCTCTCTGTTTTCTCCTTTAATGTTCGAAATAATTCATAGGTTGAGCTGCAGTGCGCACAAGAAGTGGCAGTGAAGAGACTTGCAGAGAATTCTGGACAAGGCCTTCAAGAGTTCAAAAATGAAGCAAAATACAAAGAGGATGGATGGGACCTAGTAAGTATCAGGGTGTCTAGTGTATAGCTGTATCAAAATGTTTTAAGATTTTAATTTGAGAGCTGAAAATGGTACCACTGGCTTTGGTGGTGAACATAGTGGTTATATGCCACCGGAGTATATCATTCAATAAGGGTGTTAGCCATTTAAATACAAATGATATATTATTAAATATATGATTTTTATATTGAATTTGAAACGATATTGAATTGTATTGAAACAAAAGAAAATAAAACTTTAACGATGCAACTAATCAAAGAGAGAATTTAAAATTTTTAAGGAATATATCCACATACAAAAAAAAAACAAAAACTCAAACATAAACTAAAAAGAAAACTTAAACGCACAATAACAGTCAAAATCTTATTTTGAGTCTAACGTTCATCATCCATAGAAGCTCAATAATCATCAATAATACTCCTTTGATTCTATTCAACTATAAGCTCTAGAGATAATGAATTGACGAGCGAATCAAAGCAAACTTACAAACTGTTTCATAAAATAGATCTAAATACATCGGTAAATAATCATAAAAGAGAATCTGACCATTGAAATACCACTAACAATCAAAAATCAGATATGAGCGACATGAGAAGCTATACACAATCACATATTTACCACATAGGTAGACGAGCAACATGTCATAAGGAAGAGGAAATGTGTTACAAGAGCAAAGTAAAACATGCCATGAGAGCAAAGTTAAAACGTGTCAAAAAGTAGGCAGACATGCGCAAAATTTGAAAAAAAAAAAAAGATAATTTTTATTAAAAAAATTAAAATAACAGAATAAAGTGGGATATGCAAAACAATGGAAAAGATGAACATTGACGGTCGACGACCAAATCAAAGACTGATGTCATCATCGGTAAAATAAAAAAAAATTGCGGCTAATAGAAGAAAAGAGAGAAAAAACTATGATTTTTGTGTTTTAAAAATTAGTGTTTTTTTAGTGAATATGTTGTTAAACCTAATAAATACATATATTATCTAACATTTAGTATTTGTTGTATATGAGATTTTATTTTTATAATATTCTTAGATAAGGGAGTTTGATATTTAAGTAATTATATATATAATTTTTAAAATGTAATGCATATTTTATTTTTTAGCGTACAAAAGAGAATCATTTCAACATCCATACAATGAAAACCTTCTCTGGCAAAATCTGCCTCTTAAATAGGATTATAATGTTTTAAAAAAGGTCACAAAATATGTAGAATTCTGGAAATTAAAAAGGAGAAAGGTGGGGTATCCATTAGCCGGCTGCCACCTTCTCCCAAGCCCCATGTTAGCAATCTGTTTACTGCTTCTCTAGTGAGTACATCTCTCACATAGAATGACTACCGAGCAAAGACAAGGCAGACAGGTCTTGGAGCTTTAAGCAAAACGCTAAAGATATCATCATGTAGTTTCTTAACTGATAAAGATAAAGGGGGAGCTCATCAATGTGATGTATATATTGCACAATGCAGGATAAAATAGCTTCTTTTCCATACTACCAGTTTCCAGGGGATAACTGAGTAAAACATCAAATATATTTCTTTTGCTGCTCGTCTGCAAACTATAACATTTATCCGATAATACACTGCAAATCAGTACATATAAAAGGAGAGAGAACAATAAACAAAAAGTAGGGATCAAACTGCTCAAGGTACCCTCTTCCCTTCCTACTGTTTGATTTTCCAGTTATGAGCAGTCCGTGGCCCACTTGAAATGCCTTCATAGTATTCAGATCCAAGTTTCTGGTTATTCCAATCTTTAACAAAGTAGGTAAAAAATTCCCGAGCAGACTCCGACGAAAGATCAGAGAAAAACACACGCTTCTCTTCTTTCAGCCACATGGCAAACTCATTGTTCTTTGAAAAGTAGTCATCACTGGAGATCTCTTGGAACCCATGTTTCTGCAGGAATGGAGACAAGAACATCAGCAAATTATAAATTTCACGATCTGCACAGGCAGTCAAATAATATATAGGGCTTAGAGACTCATGTGTGCCTAGTTGTCATTCTAAGATTTCAAAAGTTGAACTCAACACCGCTTGGTTTCATATTTAATAGCCAAACCCCATGAATCCAATATATAAGAAGAGTGGAAAGGTTGAACGAAAATTTTAACCCCAAATTGATAACTTATTGCTTTTGTTATTGTTGTACATGTATAAAATATTTTTGTATATTCTTAAAGGGGTATTGTAACATGATTACATCATTCTTGTACAGCAAGTTAAACTATATGCACACTTAGGACCAATGAAATAAAGATGCCAAGTATGTTAAATGAAACAGGTGAAACCCAAAAGTTCACTGATGAGAAGGCAAATTTGCAATTTAAAGTTCGGCCACTAATGTCATTTTGCCAACCTATTTCAACAAAGCAAAATAAACAATATTAGAGTTATCTCAGTCGATAAGATATGTTTCTCGATTTACCTGGGGAAGGTATGAACTAGTAGCACAACACATATGACAAAACAGAACTAACAAGACATCTAGTGAGTGAGCTGACTTCAAAGTATCCACCATTACAAACCTACCAGAATTCCTTATAAGTTCACAGAATCTGTGATTTCAATATCCCTTAAGAGCGGAAGGAAAATACTCCAAAATCATGAATGTTCATCAGAATTCTCAATGCTTTAACATAGACTATGGACCTTGTTTTGAAAAAGACGAACACAAGAATCCACCCCACACCCCCACAAAAAAAAAAAAAAGCTATGAACTATTACATCAATATGTCCGAACTATACAGGCTGCATTCCACATCCAATTTCACATCATGTTCCTCAAGAAGTAACCTAAATTTTAGACACATCAGTTAAAGGAAACTATGACTTCCAATCTTATAAGTATGAAGGTTGACTTCTACAAAGCAGAATAAGAAGACTCACTGAGTGGCGGTCACCTTTGTGATGTTTACTTTTGTGTTTTTCCTTCGACTTCTTCTCTGAGTCAAACAAAGTAAACCAACGTGTTATAACTATTTTTCCAAAAAGCAGGAGAGACAGAATATGGAAATTGTAGTTTTCTAGAATTATACCAAAAGCATATCCCAAACAAGTGGTATTAAGAAATCCAACAAAAGATCCTAAACCTTTAGATGTATTAAAGAGATGCTGGAAATTCAAAACAATTTATCAGAATTTTATAACTTATATATATAACTATAAAATAATACAAGTAAAACCAAATTTTCAAATTCAAGCACTAGAATTATATTACTATGGTAAAAACTATTTCTCAAATTCAAGCACTAGAATTATATTACTATGGTTGTCTCTTGTTGTTAACTTACACTTCAATTCATGAATCTAACAAAAAGTCAAAAATTTTGGTTAGTGTACTTTTCTTTTAAGTAGCACTATATCTACCCATACTCTCTCAACTCTGAGTACTTCACTAATCATATATCATCCAACTCTCAGCATAAGCATAGACTCCAAAAAGCATGTAAAAAACATAATACAGATGAAGAGATCAATCAAGCCATCTTAAGAGTTAATATATCAAGTTATCAACAGCTTCAAGACCGAAGTTTTAAGAAACAATTTTGGTGACTAACTAGTGAGTATTTGCACGTGTATTACTATCTCAATAGAAGTAGAATTTTAGAAACACCGGGGGGATATCTACCACTCTCATTACAAAGAGTTCCCATAAATCCTACAACCATAAAAGCAGAAAACTGAAAATTCGACACATAAAGTAAAATAATAGCTACTAGAAGCTCAATTCATAATGGAATTCATATTCTTCCTTCAATTTTCCCGTCCTAGGTATCCCTTTTCTGTTCCACAGATTTTAAAATCTTAAGTTCACAAATGCTCATCAGTTGATAAAACATACAGCAATATAAAGCTATCTCAGTTGATAAAATCTTAAGTATCCCTTTGCTGTTCTTGAAATTTCAACAAAGACTCGATAACTTAAAACAAAATAAAAAGGATAAATAACAATGAACTTTTAAGCTTAAAATTAAAACCTTTGTCGGAAGAGTGCTTGTGAGATTTCTTGTCTTTCCTTTTCTCTCTCTTATCATGCTTCTTCCTGCTTTTCCTCTCCTCGTCCTCGCCTCCCCTTTGCCTTTTTTCCCTTCCTTCATCTGTAGTCTTACAATAAACCAAACATAAAAGACCAAAACTTTCGTGAAGCTAAATTAATTTCGAATCAATCTTGCTTGAAACGCTAAGCAATTTAAATTAGGGTTCTAACTTTTTTCCCGAAAATTAAATAAAAATTATTCATCGTCAACGGACAATTAAAACTAACCTTCAGACCCAGAAGAAAAAGAATTTGATCGTTTCTTACTTCTCTTTTCCTTCCTATCGCTTCCCATTTCTCTTCAGATATTTTGTTGTTTTTTTGGTCCTTTTGGGGAGCCATATTTTTATGTTATATACCGTACGTGCCAGTAGAGATTTTTAATGACTAAAACACCCTTGTCTTATAATGTCATTTTCAAAATAAATTATTGTGTTCTATTTTATGTTATTTCCTAATTTTTAAAGTTTGGCACGATCCGCAATATAATAGAATACTGATAGATACTACATTTGATTTAAATTATTTAACTAATGAATTAAATATTAAAATTAACTACACAAATAATCATTTATGTTTGTATTTTATCTACTTTTGATCATTGAGGTTTTCTTTAGTTATAATAGGGTATTAAGCTAAATTTAAAACGATATCGTTTCACCCTAACCCTCACTTGTGTTTTTGAGTCTTCGGGGCAAATAGCAGTTTTGGTTCTTCGTGTTTGTAATCTTATGTTATATTCTGAAATGAAATGGGTTATTGTCAGTTTCAAATCTTGAAGTCTATTTTTCCTATATTTTAGTCTTCGCATGTTATTTATTATGTTATTGTTAAATGCTCGGCTTAATCTATTAATTTGAGATTCGTTGCATTTTAGTCCTTTTGTTTATTACACACTCGGCTGTGGTATATTTGTGCTGTAAACCCTTTTGGTTGGTTGTATAGCCACTTTGGTCACCATTTGATTTTTAAATCTTTACGTTTCAACTCCTTAATTTCATTCCGCTTTCACTTTGATCCTTGAATCAATTTTATTCCTCCGTTTTTGACTAGTCAATTCCCGTAATTTCCCATTTTATATTTAAACCATGTTTACATTTGTTCCCTTAGGTTACTGTTATTTTGATTTGATTATGCTTTAATAGGTTGACTTAATTTTCATAACTTCCTTATACCTTATACGTATGTATATTACTAAATATCATGCTATTTCAAAAATACTTTTTTTTTCCTTCCTTTTTTTTAACTTAATATATATAATACGTTTTATACCCTATACATAATATATTACACAAGTGTATATACTTTACTATTCTCATAACATTACAAGACTACTTTCCTTATATATTCATGTATATTTAATTGATAAAAATATCCATCTGCTAATATATTTTGTCCTTGTCTCGAATATTTTCAAGAATGTTCGTCGTAGAATGGGCGTGAAAAGCACCGCTCGACAGGAGTAGTGTGATTCAACGACATTCGAACGAACAGTGAACTTGAAGTAATTTTACTCGATTTTCGTATAATTTTATATTTCGAAATAATTAACCAACGTTCGATAAGAATGTATCATACTTTAATTTTGATTCGAATTTGTAAAATCCACTGTTTCGACAATGTATAAGAGATTAAGTATTAATTTTGGCTGTTGTGGGGTGCTCACCTTTCTCCACGCGTAATCGACTCTCTTAACTCTTAAAAATAAATTTTTGGTAAGCAGACTATTATTGTCTTTAAAATAATTTTTTTTAAAATTGTTTTAAATGACATTTTTAGTTATTCGACCTATCTAACCCAAAGATCGATGGCGACTTTAAATTTCAAATTAGTTTAAACCCTAATTTTTTTTAAAATAAAATCATAATTATTTTTAATTCGATTTTTTTGTTTTAAAAACGTTATGACAATATGGGCTCTTCTTAAAGCCTTTTTATAACAATTCCACCACATATAGATATATAATTATATTCATTTGCTGTTATAAAAAAAACATCTTCAAAGCAATCCTCTTCCAAGAAAAAGAATATTCCAACCTTGATTTCTTAGCTAAAACATTCCAAGAAACCATGGAGAAAGTTTGTGATGCAAACAAGTCCAACTTGCAGGCCAAGACAAGCAAGGAGGACAACCAAGTTCAGATAATGATGGAGGAAATGAAAATCTTGAACCAGGTTGGACCAGACCTTACCGAAAGAAACGGACAGAGGTGACCCACGTAAGAATCGATCCGGGCCAATATGAGAATGTGGCTGAGGAAATCCATACCCCAGAGGATTCCAATGGGGAGGAATATCACGCCACGAAGTTCGTGTCATTATGTTCTAATTACTACTCCCATATATTTACCCAGAAACAGTTTCGCAAGAAACATACATAGGCTAGAGAAAAAAAATACAGAAATTTGGATGCTTCGCCTTAGTATGACAAATTATAAACTTTTCTTTGTTATCAGCAGGGAAAGGGCGCCCAAGCCTGACGGCACCGCCAACGCAATTAAGAAGAAGAAGAAGTACAGGTAAGTATTCTAGCATAAAAATTACATATTATGCATTTGAATGACATTAATCGATGACTTGATGTGGTTTCAGGTAGGGTTGTAAAATCGGGTAATCGTTCAGGTTTCAGTCGGATCCTGGCAGGTCGGGTAAAATCGGATACAGGTCAAGTCAGGTAAATTTGACATCAGATCCAGATCGGGTTCAAGTCAGGTCAAATCAGTTCAGGTTATTTTCAGGTTGATTTGACACCAGATCCAGATCGGGTTCAGGTCAGGTCATTTTCAGTTCGGATCGTTTTCAGTTCAGGTCAAAACAGTTCAGGTTTGAAGCAGTTAAAAAGCAGGTTAATTCAGGTTCTGATAGACTTCAGGCGGATCTTGTTCAGATCGGGTCACATCATTGGCAGATAAAATTCAGGTCGGATCTCTATCAGATACGGATTGAGTTCAAATCGGGTTAATTTTTATTTTTAAATTAATTATTTTCGTTTTTTGCGAACGTTGAATTGCAATTTGTAATTGTATATGATTTAGAGTAAATTACTAAGAATATAAATAATCATGGTTCAATTTTATGAAAAATACAAATTTAAGAATTAAATTGAACAAATATGAAATTACAAATAAAAATTTAAATAAATTAAACAACACACATTGATGAGGGATCAAATTGAAATAATTTTAAATTGTGAGGTTGAAATTAATACAAAAAGGTACTAAATTATATCCCTTTAAAAAGTTATGGGCCAATTAAAAAATATAATTAAGTAATAAGTATGGATCAATTTCATATGCAAATAAAATTTGGAGTACTAAATTGAACAAATATGAAATTACAAATAAAAATTTAAATAAATTAAACAACACACCTTGATGAGGGATCAAATCGAAATGATTTTAAATTGTGAGGTTGAAATTAATACAAAAATGTACTAAATTACACTCATTTAAAAAGTTATTGGCCAATTAATAAATAGAAATAAGTAATAAGTTGAGAAAAAAAGTAAAACAACTAATATAGATATATATATATATATATATATATATATATATATATAATATATAAACTATATAGTTTATATATAAAGTATATGTATTATATATATAAACTATATAGTTTATACATATTATGTATAAAGTATAAACTATATATACCATGTTTAAACTATAATACTATATAGTTTATATATGAACTATTGAGCTATATAGAAACTACATAGTTTATATAAAGTATATGAATTATATATAAACTATACAATTTATATTTATATATTATGTATAATTATATATAATATATATTGAATAAATTATATAGTTTATTAATATAAATTATATAGTTTATATATATATATAGTATATATGATTTAGGGTTTAGGGTTTATATTTATATAAACTACATACTATAATTTATACTTATATATTATATTTTATACTATTTATATAAACTATAGTTTATATTTATATACTATATATATGAACTATAGTTTACATATGAACTATATATATAAATATATATATACTAAGGTTGATATTTATATATGAACTATAGTTTACATATGAACTATATATATAAATATATATATACTAAGGTTGATATTTATATATGAACTATAGTTTACATATAAACTATATAGTTTATATACTAACTATAGTTTACATATAAACTATAGTTGATATTTACATATGAACTATAATTTACATATGAACTATATATATAAACTATATAGTTTACATATGAACTATATATATAGTTTATTAGTGAACTATATACACTATTTATATACTATATACTATATACTATATATATAAAAACTATAGTTTATATTTATATACTATATATTATATATATAAACTATATATACTATATAGTATAATTTACATATGAACTATATATAAAAATCCTAAACCATAAACCCTAACTATACATTATATAGTTTTAGTATATATAAACTATATGATATATATAGACTATATGGTATATATAAACTATGCATTATATATAGTTCACTAGTATATATAAACTATATACTATATAGTTCATTAGTATATATAAACTATATAGTATATATAAACTATATATTATATAGTTTATTAGTATATATAACCTATATAGTATATGATATACAAACTATATATATATAGTTCATTAGTATATATAAATTATATAGTATATATAAACTATATATTAAATTATTAATATAAAAATATATATTAATTGAAAGAATTGAAAAATATATAATGATCAAATTGAACAAATTTTAAATATGAAGCTTAAATTAATAAATTGTAACATTAAATTTGGATTAAATTGAAAAAAGGTTGAAATATGAAGATTAAATTAATATATTAAATCATTAAATTTGAACTAAATTGAATAAATTTAAAACTAAGAGACAACACTACAATATCAAATAAAGTTAAAAAAGCCGCGGGTTTTTTCCCTCGCTTAAGCCACAAGGCTACGCGCCAAAATCAACATCATTTCTCGTCAAATAATGTCTCTTTTCTCCAACCAGCAGGCAGTTCCGTTCTTTCATTACTTGAGTCTCAGAAAAATTCCCCCTCGTTTTTTGCCGCTCTTCTTCTCTTTGCCATGGCTTCTGATTCTTCTCCTGCTAATTTTAAAAACGGTTACTCTCTCTTCTACTCTTCAAAAGCTTGATTATTTTATATATTTGAAGTGTAATTTTTTGGGTTGTTATTATTTTTAAATCTAGAGATAATGATTGTTTAGGAGCATGAGAGATAATGATTGTTTGCCTGGTAGTTGCTGTTATAATCTGATGATTCAAGGGTTTCTTCAGAGGGTCGAAGAGTTTGAATCACCCCAAATACACAACCAGGTAAAGCAACGATCTCGCGTTTGGCAACTGCAGTTCATGGTCAGGTATGTGGGCGGTTCCCTTGAAAATTCTCTCGAAAATACATATCTTCGGGTGTTTGATCACGGAAGTTTATTTCCTTTTTTTATGTTATTTTGATCAGTAATTCCAGCCAGTTGAGAGAAATGGCAGATCTGCTATGAAGAATGACAGATTCCCAGATGATTTGTTGGTTCTATCATGTGAAGAAGATTGTGAATTTTGTATTCCTTTCCTCGAAAAAGGTAATAAGGGTTCTGTAAATTAGCTGGATTTCAGTTCGAATGTTTTTATTTGAGTGTTTTGCCGTTACGTTATGCTTTCAGAGGCAGCGATTTACAGTTCAGAGCTGTTACTAAATGGAATAGTTGTCATATACATACATACATTTATTTATGTTTTGGTTTTTGCTTTGATGAAATGGGTTGTTAATTGGTTGTTTATTTGATGCTTTTGATAGATCCATAATCCATGTTCTAGAATGCTCATAAAAGGGTTTCTTTATTTGCTTTTTAACGAATGAAATATGCATTTGATTCTAATATGGTGGTTTTGTTTGATGCGTTTTGTTCAACCTGTGTTCTAGTTTTTGTTTTTGGTTTGCTGTATCTTGTAACATCAATAAATTTAATATATTTTACCATATAAAGCGCCTAACCGAGTTGAGTTTTTGTTGCAGAGAAATCAGTGAGTCTTGTCGTCGGATGGGTGTTTCCTTTTCCTGCCCATTTGCTAAATGCAGTGATGTGGAGAATGGCTTAGAATCCATCACTGTGAAGTCCATTAGCTTTGGTGATGATGGAGTCAGAACACCTCTTAGATCCATCACTTCCACCTTATTTTTGGATCTCATCTTACGATCTAATAAATCAATTTTGATTTGAAATGCTTCATAGATAGTGTAAAGATTTCCACTTGCAAATGAGTATTTAGTTCTATTTTCAGTTTAGTTAGTGGACTTTAAACATTAAGGAAACAGTTAAATGTTATATACTATGTTTCATCTTTCACAAGTGATCTTTTTGAGAAGATTTTCTTCTGGTACCTCTGCACAAAGTGAGAGTCTTGTTGATGGTAAAGTTGAAAACATGATGTATAACATCTTTGAAAACCTAAAAATTAAGGGGGGAAATCGTGAAAACAATATCCCCTGTGCAGCTCTAATTGGAAGCTCTACCTTTCTTCATTCCGATGACTGTTTCCTGCCAAGCTGAGCTCGTATTCAGCACCGATGAAAATATTGTAGGTGAATCCTCAACACTACTGCAAAAGCTTGAAACAAGATCCAAGCTTCACATACAAAAGGCTGAAACACTTGGCTGGTCTCAATTGTCAACTCCATCAGGTGCCTCTCTGTTCCTTTCTTTCCTTAAAATGCATATCACTTGGTTGTACGGTTTAGGAATATAATAGTAACAATACTTATTGCGTTAACACATTAGTAGTTTTATGATCCTCCTTATTAAATTTTAAGTATGTTACTCTTACCTTCATGGTATGCTTGTCATGAACAATGTGATTACATGAACATCTTCTCTGCAGGGATAGCAGTGGTAGAGCTGGTGACTATTCCCAGGATGGAAGGTACCCTTCACGTATATGAGAAGTTGTTCAAGCAATTAATTTGATATCCTCTTATGTTGAAATATGCAAATTATTTAATCATTTATATGTTGAAAGTAACTTTTCTGGTCTTGTTGCTACACCAGGCCGTAATCATTTATATGTTGCTATAGTAAGGGTTTGGTAAAGTCGGAAATGTTTGGCACTGTTGGCCATCAAATTCCCTTTGGCTTTATCATTGATTGTATGTTTTCTTAATGCAGGGTGCTTGTTGAATCGATGCAACGATGCTTGCTGAATTGGTACATTAATGCTTGATGTTGCTGCTGTTTATTACTCACTGATGTATTGTAAATTATTGTTGTTGGTATGACTTAAATCAATTTTAGAACCTTATAAATTCTTATCTAAATAGTTATCATGTTGAATTATGTTGGTGACTTTTGGCTTTTAAAGCTAGAAGTTGTTCAAAAAAACATGTTCGTAACATTTAGGTCAAAGCTCGATGATGATATTTCTGGTAGATAGTAGGCTTTTAGCCTTGTAAACATTAGTTATAAGATCTGAGAGTATTTATTTCAATATAAATTATTTTGTTTAGTTGATTTATTGTAATTTTAGTGTTTCAAGTGTAATAAATTACCTTCATTTATAAATATTTTTAGTATTTGTAATGTTATTCAAGTTTTTAATCTTTAATAAGTCATCATTTCGATTAATATATTTGATTTTAAATTTCAAGTTAAGTTTACTTAAATATTTATCAATTTTCACATTAAAAGTAATTAGATTTATGAATATTTTAACTCAGGTAATATAATTTAATAAAATAAAATTCAATAAGATAATATTTAAATTTAATTTATTGATTATAAATAAAATTTATAATATAATAAATATAAAGAAATGAATTGGAATTTATATAAAAATCAAATTTATAATATACAAATTATATTAATATAAAACTAATTTTAAATGTAATCATATTAATTTAATTCATAATAATTTATGATAAATTTCAAAAAGTAACATATTAATTAATTATTATAATAATTTAATTATCATTAGTTATTATAAATTTAAAATAATATAATTATATTAATTGTAACTTCACTTATAAGTCAGGATAATATTATATCACCTAATAACATGTCAGATCATTTACAGGTTGAGTTAATTACAGGTCAGGTTCATAACAGGTTAGGTTGAAAACAGATCGGGTAATACCAGTTATTTACCAGGTCAATATCGGGTTCGAGTTCATATCAGTCGGATGCAGTTCGGGTTCGAGTATCATATTTTCGGTTCAATTCAGGTTCATGTCGTTCTCAGGTCGGATGCAGGTCGGGTTCAGATCCACAATTTCCAGGTCCAACTCGGGTTCAGGTCAACACCAGTTTCGACTCAAGTCGGTTTCGGATCGTTACAGCGCAGGTCAAAAACAATTTTAACTCGAGTCTGTTTCAGTCAATTTTACAAATCGGGTCAGCTTTTTACACCCCTAGTTTCAGGATGAAGCAACAAAGGTTGAGCAGAGGGATAAATAATGAAGCAGATTACGAGTCACCCAAGATCCCTATAGTCTTTTTAAAACTAGTATGAAATCTTAATTCAATTGGTATACAACAAAATCAAAACCGAATCAAATTGGCTTCGTAATTCGCCTCTGCTGATTCTATTGTCAAAGCTACTGCTGCTGTTAAGACAATGGCTGTTTGGTTTTTGCATTTTGATTGAGAATGAGACCTTTTCCTTATTTGGGTAAACTACACCTTTAGTGCTTAAACTATTATTTTTATTCTATTTTGATACTCAAACTTTATTTTTTTCTTCAAAATCACACCTATTTGCAACATGCGCACACTTTGCAGACGTTGCTTAAATCTAGAAAAACAACAACATTCTCTGCACCATTGAGGTCACTTGATGGGTTCTATAGATCCTTTTATTATTTCTACAGGGTTCATCTAATGGATAGAGTACATAAAAGAAATATCTATAAAGAATTTGGTTATTAATGAATGCATGACTAAAAACAATCATACCATGTTATTGGTTCCAGATTTAATCATATAATTTGTAGACCAATTGTTGAAATCCCACTAGTCACAGTAACCTTTTGTAATACTCCATAAAATTTTATTTAAGTGTTTAAAAAGTCCATGGCAAAAATTAAAGTATCTGAGTATGTATGTATCAAAAACAAATTATTTGGTCCCTCCTTTAAGGAAGATAGTAATTGATTATTTTGATTTGTTAACAATTAATAATGTCTTATTTTATATATATAATAAGAAGCAAGGAAATTCAATCTAGGGAACGAAATTCAACAGAGTTATTAAAAACATATGGAGAGTGGAGACTTTAAGAAAGAAAGATCACACGCACCTGCAATGCCAAATCATAGTAGGCAAAAGGCTTGATATAAAGGACTTGAGGATCCATTTTTTCCGAGTAAACTCCTTTAAAGGTGATTCAAACATGTCACATTCTAGGAAATAAATTGGATGATTACAACCCTCGGATCATTATCTTCAATCGATATAAATATGCAAGGAACTAAGAGATTCAAGTTCCATAACTGGTTGAAAAAAAAGTGTTGGAGCAGTTTCAGAGATGGTGAGACGCCTGTAATCACCATTTTTACCTCTCCATTCCAGCATCTCCACGTTGCATTTCCAGCAATTTCCAGCAGCTGCAGCAGCCCCTCCATACAGCATTTCTAGTAGCTTCCAGCGACAGCTGCCCCTCCACGTTGCAGCTACAAACAGCCTCCAGCAAGCCGGGACAGCAGCCCCTCCACGTCCCAGTTCCAGTGGCTTCCATCACCTCCTTTGGCCAGTGACTCACCGAAGCTTTCCCCTTTGGACTGGTCCAAGACAAGCACTGGAGGTGGCTATAAAAGCCACCACACCTGCGAGACAGAGAAGGAGGAACAGACAGAGGACAGAAAAAAAAACGACAGGGAGAGATACGAACAACAACCAACAATCAGAACAAAAAAAGACCAGCAACACAAAGAGAGGACCACGACAGAAAACAAAGAAAAGAGAGAGAAATGAGCAAGAACAGCCATCGAGAGCAACACAAAACAGAGCGAGAACGAGGGACTTACCACAGAGGAGAGCCCAATCGTCGCCGGAGACATTTTCAACCGAGGTAAAAGCTTCGGTTTTCCTAGATCTACAAAAATCCGAGGAATTTTAGGGAAAACGGGAGTCAGATTTAGTTTTAGATCGCTTGGATCTATCGTGTGGTGTATTTTGAATTTTTCCGCCCACCATTAGTAGTGGCCGGCGGCCGTGATCGGCACCGGAGACGGTGGCCGGTCGGAGCTCGACGAGAGCCCTTTTCAGAGAAATTTTTTTTCTCTTAGAATGAGAAAAAGAGAGGAATGATATCAAATGGCCAAAATGGCCGGTTTTAAGGGTATATAAATCCCTCCCCAAACGACGTCGTTTTGGGGAGGGTATCTGTGTAATTTCACTTTCGGGAAAATTATTTCCGCAATCACTCCAGGTCTGTAACTTTTTCATTTAGTCCCTGGAATTAAATTCTGAACGTTTAATTTGGTCCGAATTTTATTTTAGTCCATGACCTAATTATAAATATTTAGGTAAATAACCGATTCAATCCCTCATTATTTTATTAATTTATATTTATCCCTGAATAATTAATTAGGGTAAATTACTCTGTAATCCTCGTATTCCATATCATTTCAAATTAGGTCCTTTAATATTAATATTTTATATTTTAGTCACCCATTTTAATACTTATCATTTACTTTATTTGTAAGTTTATTACCTTTTTATTTACTATTATAGTTTTAATTTTATTTTAATCACTATTTATTTATATTTTAATTCAATTTATTATTTTAATTTTATATGTTTATTTGAAATATATTTAATTATTGTTAAGTATTATTATTTAATTCATATAATATATATTAAGTAATATTTATTTATTTATTTATTTATATATATTAAATAAATATCTTACATTTATAAATTATATATTATCTATTTATTATTATTTTTTTATAAAATGTTTTTATATTTATTCATTTTCAATATCGAAGAGAATAGATGTCTTAAGGCACCTAGAACTTTTCTGATATTTCAAAAATAAATCTTATTATATTAAAATAAATTTTTATTTTTTTAAGAAATGTTTTAGTTATTTACTTATTTTTAATATCAAAGAAAAGAGCTGTCTTAAAGTACCTAGAAGCCCTTTTCTGATATTTCTAGATAAGTAAATATCTTATTTTTATAAATTATATATCTATTTTTATTATTATTTTTAGAAAATTTTTTATTTTTCATTTTTCAATATCGAAGAATTTTTGGTTATAAACGCAGATCAGTTCA